TATGGTAACCACTATTTAGCCACAGAGGCCCCATAAGTTCTGATTACTTGAGAGTAACTCTTGACATATGGATGCTGTGAGTCTCCTCTCTTCCTCCACTTTCCAGGGTTATCAGGGGATAACGCCTCACTTCTTCAGTAAAGGACATTCTTTCAGAATCCTCTCCATGGCTCCTCAAACTTCTAAGTAGCACCTTTGGAAAAGCAGGGTGAAGCTCATAGAAGCTTCCCAGAAACACCTAAGGAACTTGCTAAACAGAATTTACCAGGCTTCGCCTCAGATCTTTGTGCATAAACAGGTGGAAGACTATAAATGCACATTTTAGCAAGTGTCCAAGATCCTGGAAAGTATATTTTTAAAAAAATATTTTACTTTTATTATTATTTTATTTGTCTTTTTGAGACAGGGTCTCCCTGTAGCTCCAGCTGACCTGGAACTATGTAGACCAGGTTGGCCTTGAACTCACAGAGATCCGCCTGCCTTGGTCGGCATGCGCCACCACGCCTGGCAAATATTTTATCAGCCAGTACTCTTAACCTGAACCATCTCTCTAGCCCCTACTTTTATTATTTTTATTTTATGTGTATGAGTGTACTGCCTTGTATACATTTAAGTGCACCCATGCCCTCAGAGGTCAGAAGGTGGCATCAGATCCCCTGGAACTGGAGTTTTAGACAGTTTCAGCAGCCATGTGGGTGCTAGGAACCAAACTCAGGTCCTCTGCAAGAGCAGCCAGTGCTCTTAATCACTGAGCCATCTCTCCAGCCCCTGGAAAGTAAACTTTTTATGACGATGTCCTCCATGGTTCCCATACCTACCACCTCCTTCTGGGTGCTTGCTCTTCTACTCCCTCACAGACAAGTTTTTTCCAACAAACCCAGCTACACTGTTATTCTCAATTACTGTTGAATTTGGTCATATGGAACAATGTAATAGTTGGTCTTTTAAGTGTACTGTTCTTCAATAAAGCTTGTAGATATAGTGCTATCAATTTATTCTAGGTGATCTGGCATTAAGGCACAGCAAACAAGGATTTGCAAATGTCCACTTGTGCTGAATATGATTCTACATATGGTTATTAACTCAAAAATTCCCCAATCCTCCTCTGTATTTAAACTGCTACCAAGGAATGCTACAGGAAAATGGTATGTACATTCTCCCACAAGAAAAGCAATTTATTCTGTAGAAGCTTGGTAATTACAAGCTTCCCCATTTCTTCTTTCTCATAAACAGCTTACTCACATAGCTAAGGGATCTACTAAATTAAGCTACCTCCTCAGCTGAGCTGGTATTTGCCTTTAAAATCATACAAAGAAAAAAGCACCATGTTCCAGTAGTAGAGAACAGTAATCTAGCCAACTCTTCATTAACTGAGGAGGAATCTGGATAATAGCAGTTACAAGCCCACAAATGACTGAGATTGCATCTCACTGCAGCACAGTAACTGTGGCAACTGCTGCCTCTTCATGGGGGCTGCTATCTTTGCTTGAGAAAAAGGAAGCAAACAAAATGACGAACTCATCCCCAAAGTTAGCTCATCCCTAACTTGCACCTTAAAATTGCTGGGAAGGTGAGTTGCTGCTTTCAGAATTATCACAGACTAGATTGTTAGGGAAGGAACTGATTTTATGTTGGGTCTTGCTGTTGCCTCTCTCAAAAGTCTCTGGAGGTAAGAGCAGCTTTCAGCTCCTTCAAGGCCTTTCACACAAGTTTGGGTATTTAAGAACAATCTGCTTCCTGGGCCTAGTGGTCCATGCCTATAATTCTTGCACTTGGGAGATGGAGGAAGGATCAGGAGTTTGCCAGTACCCATGCTGGGATGCTCACAAGTGCCTATACTACAGCTCCAGAGGATCTGATGCCCTCTTCTGGCTTCTGAGAGCACCTGCATACAAATGGCATAAACATACACGAAGATAAAACTAAATCTTAAAAAGAAGGGGGGTGGGAATTGAGGGTCTTGTTATTTCTGTTCAGTCTAGGACCCACTGTTAACAATTTTATTTTGAGACAAGGTCTCCTTGTAGCCCTAGTTGGCCTGGAACTCACTATGCCAGGCTCACTATGTAGACCAGTCTGGCCTTGAAATCAGAGATCAGCTTGCCTTTGCCTCCCAAGTACTAGGATTATAAACGCCTGTACCACCACAGCTGGCCCAATAATTTGCATTCTTAAACAGAATCAAATGCTGGTTCTGAGATGCTTTGGGAAACACAGCTCATTCTGCAAAAATGCCTCTTCTCTTACCCTTCTTAACCATGCCTCATACCCTTCCTTCCCTTTTTGCTGCTTTTCATCAATAAAATATTTCATACCGATCTCTTCCAATCCTAACCATATTTTCAAAGTCCAACTCAAATAAATACCAACCACTTTCTGAACCCCGCCCCCAAATCAAGGAACATCCCCTCTCCTACACCCTTGTTGCCACTGTCAATCTTTTAACTAAGACAAGGAAGGGAGTGTTTCATTTCATTCACTAGCCCCTTGTGCAACCCCACCCCCACCAGCCCCTGCAGGATCCCATTATAGTTCAGATAGGCCTGAAACTCACCACAAATGCTCAAGTCACCACACTCTGCTTAAATCTCATCTCTTTCTTTAAAAAATATTTTAATTTTATATGTAAGTGTATTGCCTGCATGTAAGTGCACCCATGTCATGCAATGCCCATGGTCAGAGGAGAGCATCAGATCCTCTGGAACTGGAGTTACAGATGGTTGTTAGCTACCATGTGGGTGCTGGGAACTGAACCTGGGTCCTCTGCAAGAACAGCCAGTGTTCCTAACTGCTGAGTCACCTCTCCAGCCCCAATCTCATCATTTTTATAGGGGCAGGGACATGTGCATACAACATGCTGACACGGTCAGAGGACAACTGGCTGTGGGAGTTGGTTCTTTTCTTCTACCATGTGGGTCCCAAGGATTGAATCCAAGTAGTCAAACTTGGCATCAAGTGTCTTTACCTGCTAAGCCATTTTGATAGCCCGAAATCTCATCTCTAAAACGGGAAGGAAACTCTTTGGTATAGACTAAAGCTCAGAATCTTTTACACTGTGTAAAGATCTTAAATGAATGAGAGTTCAAGCAATAAATCATTGACTGTATACTCTCCTGAATAGCTGAAGCTAAAACTGCAAGAAACAGAAAAGTTGCATATGCTTTGTAATGTCTACAATAATTTAAATACTATAAAAATCTTGCAATTTCTTTTCCTTTTTTTTTTTTTTTTTTCTTTTTGGTGTTTGAGATTGAATTCAGGGCCTGGTGCATGTTAAACCCATATTATACTACTGACCTACCCTACCCAAGTCCTGCAGTTTGTCTGTAAAAGCAAGGGGTCAGACAACTTTTTAAAAAAATTGTTAGGAGGCTGGGGAGAGCTCAGCGGTCAAGAGCACTGACTTCTTGCAGAGGACCCAGGTTTGGTTCCTGGCACCCACATGGTAGTTAACAAACATACATAATGCCAGTTCCTGGGGCTCTGACACCCTCTTCTGGCCTTTTCGGCCACTGCACAACACCGGTCCACATGGAGGCAAAACACTCATACACATAAAATACTCTATCTGACCAACTGCCTCAATTAGCAGAGCTTCCCTTGATCTGTATTACACAAGCTACCTGTATTCATGAAATGTTCTTAGTGACACACTCATTTCTGAGGGAACGGGAGGGAATTTAAGATTCGAGCTGGTATGAGAGACACCAACCTGCTTTTTCTACCTCAAACCTATAATATTCCTCCAGAAAACTGCCGACAGAAAGAAAAAAAAAAACAAAAAAAACCCCAAAACATAAATAAATAAACCAAAATCCATCCCCTAATAATTATCCATGCCAACAGTTAATTCTGGTCTACATAGCGAGTTTCAAGCCAGCTGGGGCTACAGGGAGACCCTGTCTCAACAAAGACTATATATATAATGTATTCGGATCACCAATGTGATTATGGTTTAAAATCTTGGCTTCAATCATTCAAACGGTAACTTTTGCTGAAAAGAGTGATATTGAACCTAAACTTTCTGTTTACTTTGTCCTTAACATATATGACCTAACGAGCTAACACCCAAAATATACGTTCAAAGAAGGATTACAAAGTCATTGCTAGATTTGAAGGAGAAACTATATTTCACAATTTACATACTATAATTCGTGTGTACTTGGTGACTGTGGCAATCTGTCCTTAGGCAGAAAAGGGGAACTCAGAATACAAGATGATGTATAAAACTTGCTCTTGGCCGGGCGTGGTGGCGCAGCCCTATAATCCCAGCACTTGGGAGGCAGAGGCAAGCGGATCTTTGTGAGTTCGAGGCCAGCCTGGTCTACATAGTGAGTTCCAGGACAGCGGGGGCTACAGGGATACCCTATCTCAAAAGACAAACAAACAAAAAACTTGCTCTTGAAGGAAAGGCTCAGTTTTCCAAATATTCATTCAGGTACAGAAGACACAGACCGAAGTACTGAGAGTGGAAGGCTCCAGGCTCCACATAAACCCAAGGGTCAACATGTGCTATTATTAACATGATTTGAAAAAAATCCAAAGCCTATGATAGGCCATTGATTAAGTGTCATTTTTAGTTTTTTTTTTTTCTCATAAAGATATCTTGCTCCTAAGCAGTTAGTGCAATCAAAGAGTAACCGCCCTGGATTCGTCCCCCAGCACCGAGGCTGGGAGGAATCACTAAACTGTGTGGCCAACAGGGATCATCAGTGGCCTAGGAATCAGGGAGTTTCAGACAGATCAAGAGACCAACACTGAAAGCGAGGCAGGCGAGGAGCAAGAGGGAATCGGAGTCAAGCGTTCTGCTTTGTCTCTGATATGATGGCGAGGCGAGGGAGAGAAGAGGATAGGCGGCGGGGAGAGCACCGCCGAGAGGAAGAGGACCGGCGGCGGGAGAGCACCGCCGAGGCTGAGGAACTCCGCCGGAGAAGCCCGCGGCCGCCCATTCATTCGAGTTCAGGTGGCTGCCGGCCCGGAAGCGCCGAGCTCCCACTCACCTGAACGGGAACACGACCTCGCGGCGCCCGAGGCCGCCGCCAGGAGTCGCGGGGACGCGGGCCGGGGGCCGAGCGCCGGCGGGGTAGACGGGCGGCGCAGGCCGGGTAGGGGCAGGCGACGCAGGCCGGAGGCGTCCCTCTGCAGCAGGGCGGAGCAGAGCCGCCGCGGGCTCTGATACATGCCGGGCGCCGCCGCCTCCCCACCGCCGCGGCCGCTGTGCGCTGACTAGCCGAGCCCCGCGGGCTGAGAGGCCGCGGAGGCGAGCGGGAAAGGCGGGGCCGTGTGGGCCCGCGCGCTCTGGGGCTCTTTCTTGCTCCTCTCTCTCAGCCCGGCCCAAGCGAGCAGTCCCGAGCGGTGGACCTCGGGAGGAAGCACCGGCGGGTACGGCGGCGGCGACGGCACTCAGAGGCGCGCGGATCTGCTCCTCTGGGTAACCGGCGAGCCGGCGCCGGCAGGGCGGGCGCTACCACGCGGTAGCCACAGGGGGACCTGCAAACCCGGCCCGGACGCGGCCTGACGCGGACACACCTACCCGGGATGGTTCCGCTTTACCAGAAAGGGTGACCACAGATGACCAGTAGGGTGGAGGCCGCAGGAGACCTGAGGCCACAGGTATAGGTTAGAGAGGCTTTTTATAAATCAGAGTCCCCTCCCGCTGGATAGAATGGAAGTGCCCACAGGCTGAGAATCCCAGGATTGTTCCTGCGCTGTGGACCCGGAGACACGTGTGCGTCCGAGTGGGAGAGGCCGTGCGTGAGTGCGAGCGCGTGTCTGTGATTATCTAGCTAAGGGCATCTACTCGTGATTCCTTCCGAGGGATGTGTTTAGTCAGTCTAGATTAGGCACGGTAGACGCTGACTTCGAGTAGTGGTGGCTGCAACCCCTTACTCCATGTTAGGCTCAGGCGTAGGATGCAGAAACTGACAACAGAAGTAAGAACATAAGACTACGAGATAGGTTAAGGTCGGTGCCACACTATTGATAATATATCGATATTACAACAGGCCTCCTGATCTGTAGGTTACTAGAATTGGCTTTTGAGATGGGCCGCTCTTGGCGGTCTGGAAGTTAAACTAGTGATATTAGGGGGAGGGATATCTTGGCGATTTATATATGAGGAAGGCAAATAAGCAGAAAGGGGTTGAGTATGTTTGGGAAGGGGGGGACTCTTCAGTTATGTAATATGGAAGCTAGGGAGTAAGTAGATGCTTCGGCTGGTTGTATTATAGAAGACAAATTATACTAGACATAATTTAATAAGTAGCTGTGAGTGCAAGGGATGGTCAGAGCTATGATTAGTTGGACATGAAAAGACAGGAGGCTAGGGGTGTGCTCATTGGTTGAGCACTTTTGAGGCAAGTGAGAGGTTCAGGGTTCATTCTCCAGTACCAGAGAGAAATGGAGATGGGAGAGAGTGGGAGGGAGAGGAACAGGGAGGAGGAGAGAGAATAGATGGGGTTGGGACTACAAAAGAATGGGCTGAAGAAATACTTCATTAGCTTGTGTAAGGAATGACCAACCAGGAATGGAAAGGAAATCTTGGGAAATTTTCATCACCAAGGATTCAAAATATTTTTCAGACCTGGGATATATCTTAATACTCACAGGGTGTGGATGAATCAGCTGACACAAGTTAATGACCACACCTAGGAGAGGAGTGCCTTGACTGGTCATTACACCCACTGAATCTCAGTTTCCTTATCTATAAAACACTCCTACCTGAGTCATTAAGTGAAGCAAAAGGTAATGATAAAATTAGCCCATAACAAGTGTTTTGTAAATATAACAAAATGTGAATTTACAATTTAGGTGATGGGTGTGTGGGTGTTGATGTACCTCCCCGGCCAAGCGTTCTCTCTAGCAAGCAAAGTTTAGGTTTAGTAGGCAAGAAAGTGAAAGTGTAGGGGAAGGGAGTGGAGAGGGTAAACCCAAAACAAAGGTGAACAAAAGTCCACAAAGAAATCTGATACTTGATAAGCTAATTGACAAAAATTTTAAAGAAGTTTGAGCAGAGGTATCTGTGTGGATAAAGCTGCTCCTAAAGCCACAGAAAATCCCAGTACCAGCTGGGCTATCTCTATAGCTTGGTCAGAAAAACCCCTGAAGTCACCAAAGCAATATAGGCAGTTGCCACTGCTGTTGGTTGCCCATCAGAACTAGATGGTAAGACCATGAAGGTATCACATGTGTTGGTCACAGGACATGAGAATTCAAGCAGGAACTGGACTAGAAGCTTCCTTCCTGATCCTAGCCCTCATAGTGTTGGAAGGTGCTATGTAGGCTCCTCGGAAGGATTATCAACAGTCTTATTCAGCTGTGGACCCAGTGTGCAATAATACCAATACCAACTGGCCAGGCAAGATGAGCCCACTGGTGGTAATAGTGGCAAATCTGTTATCCTGGTAGCCAATCACTTTCTAATTAGATCTCAGGCCTGCTCCCCAGGAGGGATTTTCACAACTGGTATTGTAAACCTGGTCAAAAGCCCATAGGCCCTAGGGTGGAAGTCACTGCTGTTGTTTTACTAAATGGACAGCTCAAATTGCCTTCTGAATAACTATGTCTATACCATAGAGTAGTGCTCTTGTCAGCTCTGGTCAGAGAACTTTTTGCACTAATCAGCGGTGACTGTGGAAACTCATAACTAGACAAAGTGCTGAAAATAAATGACTATTGAATGGCCAGCCATAAATAGAACACCTGTATTACTCCCTTTCAAGACGGGACAGCCAGGCGTGGTGGCTCACACCTTTAATCCCAGCACTCGGGAGGCAGAGACAGGCGGATCTCTGTGAGTTCAAGGCCAGCCCAGTCTACATAGTGAGTTCCAGGACAACTGGGGCTACAGGGAGACTCTGTCTCAAAAAGACCAAAAAAAAAAAAAAAAAAAAAAAAAAACCCGGGGGGAATTGTAGAAGAGGGAACAGAAATAATAGAGAACCACAGCACAGAATAAGAATGTAGCCAAAGACTTGGGCATGGAATGCCTAGAATCCCAGCACTTGGGAGTCAAGAGGCAGGAGGACTGTCACAAGTTCAAGGCCAGCCTGGTCTATATAAGAGTTCCAGGCCTGCCAGAACTATCTAGTAAAACCCTGTCAAAAAGCAAAAGCAAAAACAAACAAGCCAGGCTTGGTGGCTAAATCTCAGCACTTTGGAGACTGAGGTAGGAGGATAAACAATGTTCAGGGCTGGCCTGGGCTACAGAATGAATTCCAGGTTAGCCTGGACTAGTCCAAGACCCTGCAGAAAGCAGGAGGCAGGTGAAAGAGAAGAAGAGGGAAGAGGGAGAGGGAAGAGGGAGAGGGAGGGGAAGAGGAGCAGAGTGTTGGCAAAGTAACCAGATGCACTGAATCATTCTGCCAAGAAGTTACCTGCCCTCCACAATGATCTAGGTAAAGAAACAAAGCAGCATCAGAAGCTAGTGCTTTTGATCCCAGCACACTGGAGGAAGAGGCAGGTGGATCTCTGTAGGATTTCAGCCTGGTCTACATAGTGAGTTCCAGGCCAGCTGGGGCTACAGGGAAACCCTGTCAAAAAAAAAAAAAAAAAAAAAAAAAAAAAGAAGACTCTGGGGACAATGTAGAAGATGGAATAGAAAGAATGTGAGAGCCATAGGAAGAGGGGTAATGTGGAACTCTGACTTCTAGGCATGACATCGTTGTAGTCTTGAACTTACAGCCCCTGATTATCTGCAGCAAACCTTCCTAAGATTGAACCAGGAAAGATCCTGTCATGGAAAGAGGAGGGTTTATGGGTCCCTCTCCCTCCCTGAGGATTTGTAGACAGCAGTTAGGGGAGGGGGAGACATTTTCTTTAGTAGCCACTGATAAAATATCCATGTTCCTGTAACACACAAACAGGCACACACACAAATCATGAAAGTAGAAAGGGGGCTAGTTGGGGGAAAGGAAGGGAGTCAGCAGGAGTGGGAGGGGGAAAAGAGGATAAAAGAGAATGTGTAAGTTTGATTGAACTACACTATGTACATGATGCAAATGTTATAAAGAAACCATTACAGAGCTAGAGAGGTGGCTTAGCAGTTAAGAGCACTGGCTGCTCTTGCAGAAGACCCAGGTTCACATTCCAGCACCCACATGGTGGCTAACAACAGTCTAACTCCAGTCCCAGGGGATCCAACGCCCTCTTCTGACCTGACTTCCATGGGCATTGCACCACATGCGTGCACTTACATACATGCAGACAATACACTCATACAAATAAAATCAAAATAATAAAATATTAAAAAGAGAAACCATTATGTATAATTAATATATGTTAATAAAAATATTTTAGAAAGAAAGCTTAAGCAGACAGTATACCTTCCAGGCTGAAGAGCATACTGAGTTGAGTGGTAACTGCCTGCAATTATTTTTCTTTTCCATGGTTTTGGAATTGTTCATAATAAATTACTGGGTAAAAAGTCCTTTGAAGCTGAAGAGTGTTGTTCAAGAATAAACAAGACTCTGAGCTCCATCCTTGGCACCATACACACAGACATGGTAAAACAAAATTCCTGGAAAGAACCACACCTTACACTGAACCTTCTGCTAGGCTGACTGATCAGAACTCCAGTAATGTGGGAAGATGGAATGTTGCAGAGCCAAATTATCTTGGATCATCTTAACCCTCCTTCATAGTCATTTATTGTTCTCCTCTGTATGTGACCTAATATCTTTGTGACTATTAGGTAAGTCCTTTGGACTGTACAAACAGACTTCTAGTTCCTCCACCAACCAAAAGGCCATCATCAGATAGCATCTGAGGCCTATAAATGAGATTTCCCCACTTTTCTGTGACACACCTACCTGATATTTCCACCAATGTATTTGAAAAGTGTCTTGATTTATAGTTTTCTTCATTCTGTTACTTCATGAAAGGCTACATGTCAAGAGCATGCCCCCCCAAAATAAAATAAATAAATAGAAAGATGTGGGGATTGTAGCTTAATAGTAAAGGACTTGACTCGCATGTACAAGGCCCTAGGTTTTTTCTGTGACACACCTACCTGATATTTCCACCAATGTATTTGAAAAGTGTCTTGATTTATAGTTTTCTTCATTCTGTTACTTCATGAAAGGCTACATGTCAAGAGCATGCCCCCCCAAAATAAAATAAATAAATAGAAAGATGTGGGGATTGTAGCTTAATAGTAAAGGACTTGACTCGCATGTACAAGGCCCTAGGTTCATTCTCGTGTGTGTGTGTGTGTTGTGTGTGTGTGTGTGTGTGTGTGTGTGTGTGTGTGTGTGTCTGTATTTCGGTAAGAGGGGGGATAGGCAAATTTCCAGAACAATTAAATTAGCTATTTTGGAGAAAAACGAGCTGAAGTGATGAATTGAGAAGTTTAATTTTTCACCGCCCCCAATCTTTCCCCTGATCTTTTATTTATTTTACTTCTCCTCCCAGTATTTTCCCTAATCTTTTTAACAAT